TTTGTATTTCTCTAATTCCAGAAATGTTGCACATTTCTTCAGGTATTTATTGGCCATTTGTACTTCTGTGGTGTGTTTTTTTCATTTCACGTACCCATTTTTTGACTGGGTCTTTTATTTTTTGGGGGAGGGGGTCTAACTTTTTGGAGACGTGTACATAGTCTAGATTATTAGTCCTCTGAGGAACACCTGGCAGATTTTTCTCCTTTCTATACGATGTCTTTTGCTATCAGTTATTTCTTTTGCTGTGCAGAAGCTTTTTAATTTGATATGATCCCCATTTATTGATTCCTGATACTATTTCCTGTGCAATTACAGCTCTGTTCATAAAGTCCTTACCTATGCCTGCAACAAGAGTTTTCTCTATTTTAAGTAAGTTAAGTGTTTCTGTCTTAACATTTAGTTCTTTGATCCATTTTGATTTTAGTTTAGTACATGGTGAGAAATACGGGTCTAGTTCAATCTTCTGCATGTGGATATATTCTTCACTGAAATATCTTTGAACATCACTCTTTCAATGGAAGTTCTTCAGCGAATGAACCTATTTGCTTGGGGGGAGAAATCATCCTTTGTTAAGATATCATCATCCGGGGGCCGGGTATTTAGCTCAGTGGCACAACGCCTGCTTCCCAAATGCAAGGTCCTGAGTTCAATCCCTGGTACCAGGAAAAAAAAAAAAAGACAATATCATCCTTGTGAATGCTTAGGGGATAATAATATGAAACTGTATTACATAATTAGACAGGCAGCATAAATATTTTAAATGGACAAAAATGACCTACTTGGTTGACCAATGAAAATGTGGTTTGAGTCCTAAAAGTGGCAAAACTACAGACTAGGGGTGGCAAACCCATGCCACACATGCTACGGCTAACCTATTTTTTTTTTATCACTGAAAGCTCTAAAAGGTTCACCATCACTGCTATAGGCTTTAGAATAATTGTCAGAAAAAGTATACTAAGTCAGTTCCCTGTTGCTAATATAGTATGCCTTTTCCATTAATTTTTTTTCTCTCCAAGTACAGAGGGTTGAACCCAAGGTTTTCACACTGAGCCATATCCCCAAACCTTTTTTTTCTTTGCAATATTTTTATTCTTTGAGACAAGGTCTCATTAAGTTGCCCATACAAGACTTAAAGTTAAAATCCTGCCTCAGCCTCCCACAGTGTTGATAGTAGGTGTGTCCCACTACACCTAGTTTTCATTAAGTTTTAAGCAGCATAATTTAGAATTTACTTAACTAAAAAATACTGAATACCAGAAATAGTACATAAAAGGTCATTTTTCTTCACAAATATTTTCCAGGTGCTACACAGTATTCTGGAAAGAGTTTTAAGGATTTCACCTATGCCCTGGAAATTTGATCTTTTCACTGTTATTTTAGAAATGTCATGTAGCTCTTCTCATTTTCTACCAATTCTATTCTCACCTTCCTAAATGATTTTCTCTTAACTGTTTTTTTCCTAGACCCCTATCTACTTTTACAAGATTCTTCTAAATACATCAAAATCATTTAAATTATTTTGTGTTAATATAGAAAAAAAGGCACGTGGGCCGGGGATTTAGGTCAGTGGTTCAGTGGCCTGCCTTGCAAGCGCAAGGACCAGAGTTCAATCCCCGGTACCGAAAACAAAACAAACAAAAAAAAAAAAAAAAAAAAAAAAAAAAAAAAACACAAAAG